TGTCACCAAAGTCCCGATGATAATCTGACATGATGTAACCAAGGTCCAGATGATAATCTGACGTGATGTCACCAATGTGACATCACGTCAGATTATCCACATTATCCACATTATCCACATTTTTTATTGTTGACCGCCGGCGTGGAAACTTTAATGCCTAATTTATCTTCATAAATCCCTAATCTGGATTAAATATCCTGTGTTCATTCAGAGCAGAATGAAACCGTCTTCATCAGATTACAGATTACAGCTGTCTGTGAGGAGGAGCTGCTGCTGAAGCTGCTCAGCCACTTGGAGCTTCAGGACGCTGTCCTGCAGCAGCAGCAGTTTCTGCAGCAGCAGCTTCAGCAGCAGAGTTTCCACAACGTGAAACTACCAGAGGCCTGCAGGCCAAATGTTCTCGTCCCGTGTGTTTGGGGCTTCAGGCTGAACGTGAGAACTTTGTTGGACCTGCTCCTCCAGTTCCTGCTTGTTATTTCAGGTCAGACCCAGGTGCAGGTGCCACATCAGTCATCTGAAAATCAACTGCTTTAAAATCACACTTTGTGTCTGAACTCCACCTGGAGCCTCTTCCCCCACTCTGCCTGCTGAACACACGATGAAGATGATGATGAAGAAGGTGATGGGTCTGGGGGTTCTTCTGTGAAATCAGATCCATTATTAGAAGCTGTGGGCGCTGGCAGGGCCCCGCTGACGCACCGCCTCAGGAATGAGTCTCTTCCATCAAAGGCTCTGCTGCACATTCATCACAGATGTGGAGCTGCGCTCGCGCCAACAGAACCATTTCCTCTTCCCCTCACACCCCGGCCCGCAGAACCTTCAGTGAGTCGGGTTAAAACTGGCGCAGAACGGCTCGAACAAACAGGAAGTGATGTTTAATCAGTGCTCGGGTCAGAAGGTTCTCCTCACACACGGACAGTTTCTCTACCACACAGTTTTAATAAGAAACAAGAAGCAGAATTAATTTTTAAACGATACAATTATAAATATTCTGGAGTGTTTTGTAGAGATTTTAGTCAGTGTCTTACCTGCAGTAGATGGAGAAAACTTAAAACTTCTGAGTCACACTTTTAATTTCTCCGGTCAGAAGTTTTATTTGTAGCCACTGTCTGGACAGGCGGACGATCATGTATTGACCAGTCTCTCTGTCTCACCTGTGTCTCTGTCTCACCTGTGTCTGTCTCACCTGTGTCTATTTCACCTGTGTCTCTGTTTCACCTATGTCTCTGTCTCACCTGTGTCTCTGTCTCACCTGTGTCTCCGTCTCACCTGTGTCTCTGTCTCACCTGTGTCTGTTTTACCTGTGTCTGTCTCACCTGTCTTTGTCTCACGTGTCTCTATTTCACCTGCGTCTGTCTCACCGGTGTCTGTTTCACCTGTGTCTCTGTCTCACCTGTGTCTGTCTCACCTGTCTCTATTTCACCTGTGTCTGTCTCACCTATGTCTATTTCACCTGTGTCTCTGTTTCACCTGTGTCTGTCTCACCTGTGTCTGTTTCACCTGTTTCTCTGTCTCACCTGTGTCTCTGTCTCACCTGTCTCTGTTTCATCTGTGTCTCTGTCTCACCTATCTCTGTTTCATCTGTGTCTCTGTCTCACCTGTCCCTGTTTCACCTGTGTCGCTGTTTCACTTGTGTCTGTCTCACCTGTCTTTGTCTCACCTGTGTCTCTGTTTCACCTGCATCTGTCTCACCGGTGTCTGTCTCACCTGTCTCTGTTTCACCTGTGTCTGTCTCACCTATGTCTATTTCACCTTTGTCTCTGTTTCACCTATGTCTGTTTCACCTGTGTCTCTGTCTCACCTGTGTCTCTGTCTCACCTGTCTCTGTTTCACCTGTGTCTGTCTCACCTGTCTTTGTTTCATCTGTGTCTCTGTCTCACCTGTCTCTGTTTCACCTGTGTCTGTCTCATCTGTCTCTGTTTCATCTGTGTCTCTGTCTCACCTGTGTCTGTTTCACCTGTGTCTGTTTCACCTGTGTCTGTTTCACCTGTGTCTGTTTCACCTGTGTCTGTTTCACCTGTGTCTGTTTCACCTGTGTCTGTTTCACCTGTGTTTCTGTCTCACCTGTGTCTGTTTCACCTGTGTCTGTCTCACCTGTCTTTGTTTCATCTGTGTCTCTGTCTCACCTGTCTCACCTGTGTCTGTTTCACCTGTGTCTCTGTTTCACCTGTCACTGTTTCATCTGTGTCTCTGTCTCACCTGTCTCTGTTTCACCTGTGTCTGTCTCACCTGTCTCTGTTTCATCTGTGTTTCTGTCTCACCTGTGTCTGTTTCACCTGTCTGTCTCACCTGTGTCTGTTTCACCTGTGTCTCTGTTTCACCTGTGTCTGTTTCACCTGTCTCTGTCTCACCTGTGTCTCTATCTCACCTGTCTCTGTTTCACCTGTGTTTCTGTCTCACCTGTGTCTGTTTCACCTATGTCTGTCTCACCTGTCTCTGTTTCATCTGTGTC